TGTGCGTGGATGTGCAAGTGGTTTAGCATCTGATCGGAAAAATAGACTGAAAATGACTTTTATTAAGACAACTTAGCGATTGTAGCGCCTCACTTATTTTGTCTATATTTTTGGGACACTATTTTCTACAGCGATCGTTCTCCTTCTCTCTAACCGCCATGCTAGCAACGTAGATAAACGTTGTTCTTTTCTTTATTAACTGGCTTTACGGCTCTGGTTTCTAGACCTTCTAAGCCAATCCTTTCTTTTGGAATCTTCATTTTATGTTCTCTTTCTTCACAATATGCTGATGCGTCACATTGCGAAGCCCTTGGGAGATTTTGACGATAGCTCAACCTAGCGGACAGTTGATGTCGACAGCCACTCAAGTTCATAAGGCGCCCAAGCGATCAAAATGACTTGAGGTTTATATCGACATCAAAGCACATGTTTCGTCGTTTTCTCTAATAGTTCACACGCGAATACACTTAATTCACAATATCGCATCACTTTTACGAATCATTCAAGCGACAAAATAGGAGCGATAATCCGTCTACGGCCATGTTCCCGCCAAAACTCAGATAAACGTTAGTTTCTCTATCTGCATGGAATATAGAGGTAAAGAGAACAACATCCCATAGAAGAATAATTGAAAATGTGTCAGATGGACACATTTTTTAATTTAATTTAAGCAGTAAATAACAGTTCAAAAACTCTCCACAACCGCGCTCGAGTAACTACAGGGTTATGAAATGAACCGGAAATGAACTTAGCAGTTGCCGACGAAGTGAAGTGTGCTGAGTTGAGAAATTTAATACTTGTAGTGACTAGAGTAGTTGATGAAACTGCAGTATTTAAAACCTCAACCACTTACTTTTTCTTAAATAATTTAGTACATTTCTAACAAAAAAAAAATCACCTTCTAAAATCCTTCGGTAACTTAAAGAATACGTTAGTACTCTTATTAGTTTGTGCTTAAAGAATGAGAGGAAACCTTTGGTTGATCATTTACTATCCATTAACGCAACATTCATAGTAGGAACGACATTTTGCTATTAAAATTTATCAAATAGGTAATATACATAATATATAATTTTTAAATTACATTAAAACTATTTTAACTACTTATATATATATTATATATATTATTATTAAATATTAAACAAAAACAATTTCAAAAAGTATTTACATAAAACTATTTCCGTAAACAGCATACAACTTTTACATTCAATCGTCTACAACGCGCCAGCCCCGCTTGCCTATTACACCGTCGGTGACTCGCGACTTTATGTAATTATTTCACGCAGGTGTTAAGAATGACAGAGGCCTGACTGAATATGAAACTGAATAGTGGAGACAGATCAAGATCGGTGTATTTTTATAAAACTGCTAAAAACAACAAAACCATATCTTGGGCTTGCCCTAGTTTGGAGCCCTGGCTTCGCCACTGGTCGGCACCGGTATGTACTTGAACATTCTAGATGTTTCGGAAGAAGAGGTATTATATAAGACTGGTATTGACCGTGATCCGAGTCAGTATTGAATTGGCGACTCAAGCGAATACTTCGAAGCGATATAACTGCGAACTAAAGTGATCAGTGTGAATAATTATCAGTGTGTTTTAAGTTGTGATTAGTGTTCAGTTATTAGGCAGGAGGAACAGGCTCGTCGGTTGGAAGAGCAGGTGCAGCCCGGACAGGAGAAACAGGCACGTCGGTTGAAACAGCAGCAGAAGGAACAGGCCCACCGGCAGGAGGAACAGGCCCGTCGACAGGAGGAACAGGCCCGTTGGTTGGATAAGGCAGTTGCAGCGCGGACAGGAGGAATAGGCCCGTCGGAAGAGCATCTCAAACGCGATAAGAAAGATCCGATGCTCCTCATGAAGTACCTTCACGCTACCTTCGGGAAGGAGATAAGGGAGCTGAAGGATATGGTTGCTCAACATGACAAGGAAGTCCTATTGGAAGCTGAAACCCAAATCAACCAAGTGAAGAACGTGATGACTGACATGAAAAAAATGCTGAATGACCTCAAACTTGAGGATGGAATTACAGTTCCCGTAGTAGCAAAAACACCTTCGCTACGTTGATTCATAATGCCGTCGTTCGACGGTACTTCTTCATGGTCGGCCTACAAAATCCAGTACGAGGCTATAAAAGTCAGGCCATGACTGCTCTTACACTAGGCCTGCGCGACCAGGCCTTAACTGTTCTGGAAGCTCTCGGTAAGGAAGTGACTTACGAGTAGCTCCTTGAGGCATTGGAGGCAAGATATGGTGACGTTCACCTGGAACAAGTCTTTCGTACGCAGCTTAAATATCCCGTGCAATACTTCTACTAAAACTGAAGATCCGAGAACGGTTTTACTTGGTGTACTGTCTTGACGATGTTGAGGATTGGTGTCGCAAATGTACAAATTGTGCGGCTGTGAAGGGACCTCAGACTCGTAGTAGAGGTGCATTGAAATTGTACAATGTTGGTGCACCATGGGAGATGATAGCCCTTGACGTTGCGGGGCTGTTACCGGAAAGAGAAAGTAGTAACAAATATTTCATGGTTGTGATGGATTACTTTACTAAGTGGCCAGAAGTTTTCGCCAGTCCAAATCAAGAAGCTTCAACAGTTAAACTAGTTCATGAAGTCTTCTGTCGTTTTGGAGTACCTTAAGAGATTACTGTGAATCGATATGTCTGGTCTGTGTGCGATCAAGGAAGAAATTTCGAGTCTCAAATATTACAGTAAACTTGCCGAGTTATGGGTACTCATAAAACAAGAACAACTGCTTCCAACCCGCAATCTGATGGAATGGTAGAACGATTTAATCAGACATTGGAGAGCTACCTAGCAAAAGTTGTGGAAAATCGACAAAGAGATTGGGACAAGCATATACAACCGTTTTTGTTATCATATCGAAGCCCTGTTCACGAAAGTACATCAGTGACACCAGCTTTCGCAAGCTTTGGAAGAGAAGCCTGAAGACCTGATCACCGGAATACCACCTGATGCCCTACGCAGTATAACCGATTACGCAAATGACTTGCGGAACAAAATGAATGACATTTATGAGCACATCAGACAATCGGGCTAGCAAATGTCTGAAAAGATGAAAACCCGCTATGAACTTAAAATGTACAACAAAGGATTCGACGAAGATTCACTAGTGTGGTTGCACAATCCAGTCCGCCGTCAAGGGAAATCTCCTAAGCTTCAAGCTAAATGGGACGCACTGTACCGGATTGTGACAAGGATCAATGACGTAACCTACCGGATACAGAAAGATGCAAGAGGTACTCCTAGGATCGTCCATGTGGATCAACTGGCGTGTTATTATGGGGCTGATAATGCTCGGGACGAGCATGTCTTAGGAAGGGGCAATGTTGCGCATCATAATTAATGCCTGGTACATTGTGAGTACCCACTAGCGCCATCTGGTATCGAGTAGCAGAACTAGGAGAGCTTTTTAGAAAATTCCGTAGTAGAACTTTCTACACCTAGTCTGTCGGGACCGGTATGTACTCGAATATTCTAGATGTTTCAGTAGAAGAGGTTCTATATAACAATGGTGTCGACCGCGACCCGAGTCAGTATTAGATTGGCTATAATCGAAGCGAATACTTCGAAGCAATATAACTGTGAACTAAAGTTTTGACGACTCCGTGGCGTAGTGGCTTAGCAATGAGTGTCTGTGCTGGGGGTCGCGGGTTCGAATCCCGCACGGAATAAGTATTTGTATGGCCTACAAATAATTGTTCCGGGTCTGGATGTTTGTCTCTGTGCAATTTATGTTTGTAAACTGCCCCCACGATACGGGAGAAAATCCTAGTGTAGAGGTAACGTTTTATTTAAAGAAAAAAAAAGTGATCAGTGTGAATAACTATTAGTGTGCTTTAGGTTGTAATTAGTGTTCAGTAATTAAAGTGTTAATTTTGGTAATTCAGTCGGCAGTTTTTATTGTCAACCCTAAGCTCGTAACAATATGTACTACCTGTGCGGTTGAAGAATGGAATTAAAAATGGCGTCACCTCTTGCTCGCACTCTGTTGCTATCTATACTCACACCCGCACATAAAGACTGCAAAAAAAAAGTGTTCTATAACTTCAGTCCAACTTATCATTGTAATCAGTAATAACAAAATGCGATAAACTACAAAAAAAATTCAGTTCAGTTTTGCGATTTTTGCGCCCGAACTTGTGGCTACGACGCATTCTGAGAGTTTTATTCATAATTATTGTTGATTTTATTTGATATTTTTGTATAAAATATTTACATACCATTGATTTTAAATAGTTTTTCTGTCTGTCCGAGCTATTATTAGGTATGACTAAACCGATTGTAATACAACTTCACGAACAAATAGATAGTGTGAGACCAGGAGTGATCTAGTCTAAATTTTATCCTGAAAATTTTAAGAGTTAAAATAGAAATATTGACAAGATAAAATAAACGGTCTTTAATTATTTTTTCTTCTCTTTGATTAACTTGTTCATCATCATGTTCGTCATATGCTTGTTTGTTTTGAATAACTGTTCAATTAGATTCCACCTAGGCGAAGTCAGAACGGGTCACTAGTTATTAATGTTATTTTAAAACTAATGTACCTACTTGCTTATACAATGCTTTTTAAATATTTTCTCATTAAAGAAAATTTCCATTTAACCGATTAATGTGTTATAACGATGTACCGTTATTAGCGGGTTTTCGCTATTGGTACTGTGCATGTTGACTGTACGGGCTCGATGAATCACCATTTCCAATCTCATTTTTAGTATATCCCAAAATCATATTGTATATTAAAATAGTTTTGGGTGGAGCGTAGAGTAGCCCTCTCTTTCCTGAATCCAGGGAACTTTGAATTTTAAAATATCAGACTCACTTACAATTACGTTATATTCTCTTTACCTTATTTTTTTACATCTAAATGTCAAATGCATAGTTTGTCTATGGTCCCACAGTTTCAAGTTTTTAAAAATAAGATATTTAAATTAACGACCTACGATAGATTTAATTCGTTAATTATTTGAAATGGAGAATACAACGGATGAAAGCATTTCCGAAGTAATATTTGTGGACTTTGGACCTATTGCCATTGATACAGTGACTGAAAAATGTATTACGATTCTAAATAAATCTGATGTAAGTGAAGGTGTATACATACAATAAATTATCCATACTATTTCTTTAATTTGTAACAGTTTTTCATAAGATCCTAAGTTTGATCATAATCGCCCTCGTGTAAAATACTGAAAGATATTAGTTATACTGATCTATCGAAGTTTTTATTTTTAGTTATAAAATCGTCTATACATATAATAAATCTGTAGAATAGTCGTGTCTGTAATTCTAATATTTCCTGGAAAAAACAAGTTCATGGGACTAAATAAAGTATATTGAAGCCAAATTACTGGTTTTTAGAATTTTTGTCTGTCTGTCTTTCTGTCTGTCTGTGTATTAAAGATTCACGCGAAAACTACTGGACAGATCTCCATGAAATTTGGTATGCAAGCAGTTAGTGACCCGGGGCTACTTATAAGCTACTTTTTATCTCCCTAGCGTGAGGTGAACGATGATCCTGTCGCCGCCAGGCAGTGTCGTTAGCTGCACTACCCTCTCGAGATCGATCAACTCTCCTTTCCACGGTTCGCTTAGGGCAGCTGATTCGAAGATGGCCTTTTTCCCCACAGCCATAGCACCTAGGGCTGTATCCTTTGTTGCGGTCGCGAACTGTAGCTGCCGCAACCTCCCTGACGCGATGGGAACGATGATCCTGCCGCACGGCTTCCACTTCCAGTGCATGGGCCAAGGCGTTCTTAAGCGTCTCGTGGTGCCCGAGCCTCACAGCAGCTCTGACTTCCAGGTCGCGGATGCCGTCGATGAATGTCTGCACCAGGTTCCCTTCAATGAGCGCAGGTACAGACCGGTATGCTTTCCGCACCAGCTTCTCCACCTCTAGAGACCACTGCTGCAGGTTTTCGTTGATGCGCTGCACGCGATCTTTAAGCTGCGCACGAAAGACGTGTTCCAGGTGAGCGTCGCCATATCTCGCCTCCAATGCCTCAAGGAGTTGCTCATAAGTCACTTCCTCACCGAGAGCTTCCAGAATTGTTAAGGCCTGGTCGCGCAGGCCTAGTGTGAGAGCAGTCATGGCCTGACTTTTATTCCAGCCGTTCGCCTTCATAACAGCCTCGAACTGGATTTTGTAGGCTGACCAGGAAGAAGTCCCGTCGAATGGTGGCACCTTGAACCCACGTAGCGAAGGTGTAGTAGCTACTACGGGAGCTGTAGTTCCCTCCCCAAGTTTGAGTTCGTCAAGTGATTTCCTCATGTCAGCCATTACGTTGTCAACCCGATTGTTCACTTGGTCAATTCGGGTTTCAGCTTCCGACAGGCGGTTTTCATGTTGAGCAACCTTATCCTTCACCTCCCTTATCTCTTTCCCGAAGGTAGCGTGAAGGTCCTTCATGAGAAGCATCTGTTCCTCCTGTCGGCGGGCCTGTTCTGCCTGTCCGCCCCGCAGCTGCTCTTCCAACCGACGGACCTGTTCCTGCAGCATCACCATCAGGGCGCCTAAATCAGGTGCTGCAGATGCAGGAGCTACTGACGAACCGGCCTCCGTTGCCGGCGGCTGGCCCTCCGACGTCTGCGGCGTTGCACCACCAAATCTTCTCTGGTCCGTCTCATGCTGGCGTTGACTGCGGGTACGAACACTCTCCGTTTCCTCCTTAGGTAAAATCGGCATGATTTTATCCCACTTCTGACACCAATTGTTACGAGCTTGAGGTTCGTGACAATAAAAATTGCCGATAAAATTACCTAAATTAACACTTTAATTTACTTTACACAAATTAAAACTAAAAACACTAATAATTTAAACACACTAATTCACTTAATTCCGCTCCGAAGCTTCGCTTGTGTCGCCGAGTTCAACTCTGCTTCGATCGCATCTTGCAGCGCCTACTTATTTAAATTAGCAAAGAAATATCCAGAATGTTCAAGTAAAAACGCGCAAGGTACCGAGCGTTCGAGTTTCGACTAGGCGCTGTCGGTTGAGTGATTTGTGATGTCATTTTCTCAATGCTCCCTTCGCTCTCGTTCCTGACACTAGATGGCGCTAGTGTATCGTCGACTTGAGCGCGTAACAATATCATAAAGGTTATTAAAAACATTAACATTGTAAAAAGTTATTAAACGAAATGTCCCAAATTTTCATAATATTTGTGTATTTTAATTCTTTAATTTTTCTATAACTACGAAATGCGTTTAATTATAAAAAATATTCCTATACTTCTTTAATCTATAAGCCATATGCTAATTAAATGTCATATTTATAACTCTTTTAAAACATAAAATTATTTTCATTATTTTTGGTATAAACTATTACGCAGTTAATTAAAAAACTTCTAGAGAGTTCTACGATAAGACGCGCTGTGATTGGTCGATTTTTTCTTAATATAATAAAAGTTGTTTACATTACTTGTTATCAAAACGATATTCTATACAAATATACTAAGAGTTATAAATATGTTAAACAACTATATTAATACACGTTTTCACTCAGTTTTCTTGGTAATTTCACTATTAATACAAAAAACAATATTCTTTATCACTTTGTTTCTTAAGGTTGTTAGGCCGTCGCGAACATCTCTCCCGCCGTGCAGCGTCGCGACGATTTTCTCACAGCGGCGCTGCATCCATTTCGGTGACAGACGTTGCTTCTACTTCGGCAGCGGCACGAGTTTCCTGGTTGGCCTCTTGATTAGGCCGTTTGTTGTGCGTACCTCCACAGTGCGGATCTATCCGTCCGCACCGGGGTAAACAGCTTCCACCCTCCCTCGTGGCCAGGTGTTACGAGGTAACTGGCCGTCAGCTATGAAGACTGGATCGCCCACCTGGAGATTGGGACCTCGCCCATGGGCCTCCCGCCGGTTTTGAAGTTCCGGTAAATACTCTCGGACCCAACGCTGCCAGAACATGTCAGCGAGTATCTGGAAGCGTCGCCAGTGTCTTTTGCTATTCATATCCTTTTCATCAAATACTCCAGGTGTCGGTAGTCGCGCAGATCCTCCTAAAAGGAAGTGATTTGGAGTGATGGCTTCGTCGTCGTCGCTGTCTACAGAGATGTGAGTCAATGGTCTGCTATTTACTGTGTACTCCACCTCGCAGAGCAGCGTGGCTAATACTTCCTCATGCGGATGTCTCTCATGAAGGACGGTGTATAGTGCCGTCTTCACGCACCGTATGAGACGTTCCCACACTCCTCCCATGAAAGGCGCGGAGGGGGTTATAAAACGCCACACTATGCCTCGTCGACTGGCTTCTTCTCGAAAAGCCTCCCGAAGTTCCTTGTCTGCACCGTGCATGTTGGTGCCATTGTCGGAGTAAATCTCGGTGGGGCACCCTCGGCGAGCTGCGAATCTTCTTAATGCTAGTATTGCGGAGTCAGCGCTGAGGTTTGCGACAACTTCTAAGTGGACAGCTCTGTATGTGAGGCAGGTGAAGAGAGCTACGTATCTCTTCTGATGTTGACGTCCCACAGTGACTGAAAGTGGCCCAAAATAGTCCAGACCGGTGAAGGTGAACGGTCTCTGGTGATGAGCGAGACGTGTACTAGGATGGTCACCGGTCGCTGGCACTGATGGTTGTGCTTTTCTGATGCGACACTGTATGCATTGGCTCACTATCTTTTTCGTAGTGGGTCGAAGTCGGATCACCCAGTAGTGCTGTCGAACCTCGTTGATGGTAGGTTCGGTTCCGCAATGATGCAGGCTACGATGCGTCCAGTCAATATATAATTGCGTGATGTAATGATCACCATCCAATATAGCTGGCCCCTTCATGTCTTCTGTGACTCCCTTCACCCATCGCGTTCCCACCCCGTCTTTCAATTCTATTTGAAGCGGTCGTAGACGGCTATCATGAGCGACCTTTTTATTATTACGGAGATCAGTTATCTCTTGTGAGAAGGAGCCCTCTTATATGGCACGTATCAGGAGCTTTTCGGCCTCTCTGATGAATTCGGTCTCTAGTGTGATGTACCTTTTGACATCTCTATTTTTCACTTGACTGGGAGGCTGCGCGATTTGTCGCGGATTATTTTTCGATTTCCTCCAGTCGGGATCTTCCTCTTTGCCCCTTTTGGTTCTTTTATAGAAGGTCCTGTCTGTAGTTTTGCGGCAGAGTGTTATAAATTGTAGCACTCTAGCCGTAGCTCGCAATAAGCGTTCCCATCTCGAAAACTTTGCTGGATCGGGAACAGCTTCTCGGAGTATCGGAGCTTAATGTGATTCCTTAATGGTGAGGGATCTTTCCTCACCTGTAGGTTCGGATGACGTGGGTCTTTCGGTTGGCCATGCTGTGGGTTCTTTATACAGAAACGATGGGCCGTTGTACCACTCGTGATTGGAGTCGAAGTTCGGTGGTACGTCCCTCGTGGCAATGTCAGCTATATTCAATTTGGTAGGTACCCAGCGCCAGTCCTCTACTTTACTATGTTCCTCGATTGCTGCTATTCGGTGGGCAACGAAAGGTTTGTAACTCCTGGAGCCCTTTTTTATCCACGTAAGAACAGTTTTGCTGTCAGTCCAATATGTGACGGTTTCGGGCGTCACGCAATATGCCTGGATAACGGCGGTAGCTACGCGGCTTCCCATCACGGCGGCTTGTAACTCGAGGCGAGGTATCGACGTTACTTTCAGCGGAGCTACCTTCGCCTTAGCCATGATGAGGCTCACATGTACTGTCCCATCGGGTGTCGTTGATCTCCAGTAGACTGCCGTTGCGTAGGCGCTCTCACTGGCATCGGTGAACACGTGGACTTGGAGTGAACGTGCGTCGCTGAATCCCGGGTAGAATCTTGGGATGCTTACTGATTTGAGCTGTTCCAGGTGTTGGATCCATGTGGACCATTGTTTTGTCAGGTCTTCGTCCAACTCCTGCTATTTTTGTTTTGCAGTATTTGCTTTGCTCGAATTGTAACTGGGGAGGCGAGGCCGAGCGGGTCATACAGCGACATTACTATTTTGAGTGCTTCCCTCTTGGTTGGTGTTTTATGCAGCAAATTGATTGGAAGTCGAGCGAGCTTTAGGTTGAAGCTCAGCTGATCGGTACCCGGTTTCCAGATTAATCCGAGTATCTTT